TGTGTGTGTGTATGTGTGTAAGGAGGGGTGAGTAAACAATGAACATTAAAAAATAGTTGTAACTAAGCATCCAGGGTTCACAATACGTCTACAGGGTCTTGACATGTCATTTTTGGGAAGGGAACGCAGGTGTGTATAGGAGGGGGTAAGGTTAGTAAGCAATGATTGTTGAAGAAAAAAGTTGCTTCTAAATAAGTTTTGTTATGCTCACGATAATGATAATAATAATAACACTCTATTTGATCGCTTTTAAGGACTAGCGGGCTAACCCAGATTTCGGGGGTTTCCAGAAACCTTGACCTACACAAAAAGTGGGCATTGCCTTACCTATAGGAGAAGTTTGGTTTCATGGGTGTGTATATTTGTTTGGTTATAGAGAAAACTCTCCTCGTCTTTTAAAGAAACTGAATAAGGATCCAAAAACTTTACCTTCCATTTTCTCGAAACAGCATTTTTCGGGATAGCCCCCTTGTACTTGTAGACCTACTTAAAAGCGACCATTTAATTTTTAGAATGCAATAATTGCTATGCGTAATCCACAATACCGATTTTGCCACCTGCAAAAATTCAAAGCGTTTTTCTGTCTACCACTACCATTGTATTATACTCACCTCCTGAGCTGACACACTCCGATGCCGTCCCGCCCCCTAAGATGGTCGTAGGTTTGGACCTGTAGCCCAGCACACAGTGTTGACAGTTGCCATAGCCATGACATGACGTGCAGCCCTCGCCACAGTCTAAGAGATGAAGGCATGATGAGCTTTTATTTTTGGGGGGTTTGTTTGCTTTGTTTTGTTTTGGTTTTTGTGTTGTTGTTGGTTTTCTTTTTGTTTTTTGTTTTTTTGTTGTTTTGTTGGGGTTTTTTGTTGTTTTTGGTGGTGTTGTTTTTTTCTTGGGATAGCGAGGGTGTATCTTGAAAACGAGGGAATAAGAGGGTTTAAGTCGGAGGGGGGGAGGTCATTTATCTGCCGCTACGTACTTGTTAATTAATTGCATTCATTCCATTTCATGTTCATCTTACTTATACAATTTATTCACTCATTTTCTTACTCATTCTCTCGAATACTCTCATTCTCACTCAGCTATTCGAGCTGTCACCAACTCCTTCACGTCTTCCTTCTGGCATACAAAAAATTGCTTTACCCTTGTGCTTTCAGAAACACTATCAACGGTCCGGTTACGTGAGAGCGCGCGCACGCGCGCGCGTGTGTGTGTGTG